TCCTGTAGATTGATGATCTCTCTGAGGTGCAGTGGCAAAATTTTCTACCATTCTGTAGGCTTCCTCTTCATGATCTTATTTCCTTTGCTGGGAAGCAGCTTTTTAGTTAGATACTATCTCATTTATGATTCTTTTACTTCTTGCATGTTATATTTTGTTGGTAACAGCTATTATAAGTAGCATGAAATGGTATCTGTACTTTAATATGCATTTCCTCTATGATTAATGGTATTGAGCCTTTTTTCATATATTTTTTGGTCATTTGTTTTCTTCTTTTGAGAAGTGTTGGTTAAGATCACTGTCTCTAGCCTGGTACAGTGGGAACACCTGTAATCCCAGCTTCTTTGATTCTGAGAAAGGAGGGATCACAAATTTTAGACCAGTCTGAGCAAGTTAGCAAGACTCTCAAAATAAAAAATAAACAGTGCTGCTGATGTAACTCGATTGTAGAGTGACCCTGGGTTACATTCACATACAGAAAAAAAAAATAACTCCCACGTTTTTAGTCGTTTTCTGTTTTTCTCTGGAACTCATAAACCAGAGGGAAAACTTCAAAACATTGGTATGGGAATGATTTTCTGGATAGGATCCTGCAAGTGCATGGAACTAAAGCAAAAATCAGCACATGGGACTTAGGCAAACTGCCAGTATTCTCCACAGCCAGTGCTTTATTTCACAGGGTTAATATCCAGAATTATAGAAATTCAATATTCTACCTCATAGTTCTTCACTGCGGACCAGGAAATAGAGAGATTTTCAGGAGAAGATCAACCAAGGAGATTCCTTCTGTGAGGGGAGAAAGCAATCCAGGTGACTCTCTCCTCTCCCTTTGTGTTGGAAGCAGGATAAGATAACATGCTCAGCCTGTTTCCCATCTGCATGGGAAATCCCCCAATGTCTCAAAGTCCCCTGGGTGCTGGGAGAGGGTCTTTAGGGAGCTCGAACAGATGCCTGCAGAGTGACCAAAGCAGGAGAGACTCGGGCTGATTCTGTGAGGTCACAATAGAGAAGGGACCTGCCCTGGTGAAGCAGCTGACCTTGGGTCCAGGATTGGTATTCTCTGTCTCTGATCAGCTAACACTGGGGTAAGAGAAAGGACGAGAATACTGTGTTGCAGGAGCACAGTTTCAAGGTTGGCATACATGTTGACTGGCTGTGAATATCTGTGGGTTCTGAACCCCTGGTGACCCCTCTTCTCCCCTTCTGACATTACCAAACAAGTGTGAGTTTCTCTGTCACCACTGGGTTTGCCAATGCTCATTTTGCTGTTTTCACTTACAGATCCTTCCTGGCCAAACAGCCCTCACAGAGCTAGAGCAGGTCACTGGACAAGAGAACTCTGGGAGGGCCTCTGACCACAGAGTCCATGTTGATCTCACACAGAAAAAAAATATTTCCCCTTGGATTGCTGTACATACTTAGTCTGAAGTCTGACCTGTCATATGAATGCCAGCCTAAGGCCAGGCTCATTGTACAGAGTCTAGGGGCATCACGCTGGCCTGGATCCTCATTTACAGAAAGGGAGGGAAGCTAGAGGAGAGATCCCCTCAAGCAGGGTCCTGATAAAACCCCAGATCTTGGGGTGCAGCTCAGTGATAGAACACTTTTGCAGCATATTTAAGGCCTAGAGTTCAATTCCCGGTACAAAAAAATAATAAAGATAGTAACCACAGGCCCTGTACTCAGAATTGGAAGCTGCATATTTATGTCCCTGGAGAGGAAAGGAGGCTGCAGGCCACGGATGCATATTCCTGTACATTTGCCAATGCAAAAGGAGACAGAAGATGGTCAAGATTCTCAGGCCAACTCAGTGCACTCTTGCATGTCCACAGTCTCCGTAAACAACTTCACACCTCCAAGTGCGTCGAAAGCCAAGGCTGGAATTGCCAGTTGCTTCCTTGTGAGGCTCCTTTGCCAGGAACCTGGGCTAACTGTCCTTAGGAAGGTACTGTAGATCCCAGACAGGAAGGAAACATCCTGTGTGCAGATTCTGAAGCCAGTGAGCTCTATTCTGCAGAATCAAGACACTCGGGTAGGAGCCTGGCCAGCCTCTGCCAATTGCTCCACTAGAGCAAAGCCTGGTGAGGGCTGCCCGTGTTTATATCAGACATGATTCTGGACAGTGGTCAGGAAATAGACTTTAAAACAAATCACCACCAATCCTGAAAAACTTTCCCCACAATGAGAAGAGGACAAATATTTTTTTATTCAATTAAATCAGGATGTGATATGAATTATAACCATCTACTAAAGGATTAGAACACAAAGAATTGTCATCCTTCAATAAAATCAACCAGATACCACCCACCACACCCATGTTCCCAAGGTGAATAAGCAAGGAAGAAGAATTGAAAGTAGGGAGTCTGGGGTGGGTACAGCCACCCTGGGCCTTGAGGGAATAAGGTGGGCAGGAGGCCTGCATGCAGACATAGAGAGGGGACATGGCAGCCCACTTGGAATCCCCACAGTCACTGGACTCTTTCACCCCTCCTGGGCTTCTAGTTGCTCAGTGTGTATATAAGACAGAAGACACGTCTTCTCTGTACTGATGATCTACCATTGCTTGTTTGATCTGAACACAAACTGACAGAGCTACTTTATTACAACTTATATCAGTATTTAATGTGTGAATATAACCCACTGAACAAGCGCCTCATATTAACTTCTACAGCTGATAGACCCTTTCCACTGTAGTCAGGCACAGTGAGAGGCATCACAGTCTCTGAAAGAACTTGGGGCCTTCCACCCACAACTGCATGGAGTCCCTGGGCCAAAATGCTCAGTGTCTGCCGGGCCAGCTGCCTACCGAGGCCATTTCAGGCTTTTGCCTTCCAGTCGAGTGCCGGCTCCCCAACCCTACACCCAGTTCATTGAAGACCATCCCACTTGCTATTCATGTTAATAACCTTCCAATCTCTTGGCACTTACCTATGGGGAAGTCTTCAATTGAAAATTACACATTCTATCTCTGATTTATTTAAGAGAACTTATTTTATAACTATTGACGGGGCAATGAACTTTTGTACTCATTCATAAAATTAAATTATATGTGAACTTACATAATACTTAAAACCTACTCAATTTACTGCTGCTCATGATTAGCATTTATTATGGGAGCAAGATCACATACACAATCCTCTCTGTAATAAGAGTTTATCAAAGTATAATTGAGATTTCCTCCATCAAAATCCAAAAGTACACACAACAAACCAAAAAATGAATCAGTGGAATTATATCAAACTAAATTTTCTGTACAACAAAGAAGTGAAAGGGGTAATAATATTTCCAAATCTTATCTCTTATTAGGGGTTAACGTCCAAAATATATTAGAAACTCCTACATAGAAGAGCAAAAATCAATGAAATAAACATACAATCTACTAATAGCCAAATAAGCAAATGGACAATGAGCCAAAGGACAGTTCTCTCGAGAAGACATAGAAATTAGCCATGTATGTGAAAAGAAGCATGACATCACTAATGTTGGGGGAAAGATGAGGCCCTCACTATCAGGGAAGGGAGGAGGAAACAGATGTTCACAGGCAGGGGTGTGGGACTGACAATGTTGGAAGCAACATTCTGGGAAACACACTTCATACATTTATAATTTATAAGATATTTATTTTAAATAAAATGTACAGGAAATATTGCTTTCCTTAAATAATAAGACTTCTGCTGGACATGGTAGAACATGCCTGTAATCCCAGTGACTCAAAAGGCTGAGGCAGGAGGATCACAAGTTGGAGGCCAGCCTCAGCAACTTAGCAAAACCCTGTCTCAAAAAAAGGGCTGGGGATATGACTCAGTGAGAAATCATCCCTAGGAAGACAGACCATTCCATTCTTTTGCTTCTCAGGTACATGGCTAAATTTTGCTTTCAAACACAAATTAGGACAAGATTTACAGGCAGTTTCAGGACTGAAGATGTAATTCAGAGCAAAAGTGCTTGCCTAGCAAAGGGGAGACCCTGAGTTCAAACCCCAGTACAACACACACACACACACACACACACACACACACAGCCTCAGGTTTGAATGGCATTGATTTTTGAAATTTAGTTTAGTTTTGCTTTAGTTATATCTAATGTTAATATACATTTTGACATAATAACAACAGCGTGGAATATGATTTCTTCTAATTCAGTCCCCAGGACTCCCCAGCTTTTCCTTTCCTCTGGCCCCCTCCCTCTACTGATTTTTTTCTTTTGTATTTTGATAAAGGCTTCATGAATGAACACATAATTTCAAACATATTAAGACATGGATTTAAAATCAGCAAATTGTTGTACATTAATCATACCACAGTAATGCAAGTATAAAATTAACAGTTGAAAAATGAATAAAAGAATTTTAATAATTGCATACAGGGTAATCAATATTTAAAGAATTATTTAAAATATACATGATGCAGAAATAAAAATGTAAAATATCTGGATCTGACATGCTGGATGAAGCAAGGATACCTAGAAGACACAAAAGTAGAAAGAAACAAAAAAATATTAAATGAGAGAAAACTGGGGCTGAGGTTGTAGCTCAGTGTAGGACACTTGCCTAGCACATGTGAGGCATGGGTTCAATCCTCAGCACCACAAAAAAGGAAATAAATAAAAGAATTAAGAAAAATTTTAAAATGAGAAAGTTGACTTAAAGATAGTGTCATATGTGAGATTTATTAGATTGAATAAGCAGAATAAAGGCAAAACAAACTTGTTAAATCATGGAGTATATCAATGAAATATACCACATTTAGCAAAAAAAAAATGAAGGCAGGAGAGCACAAAAAATCAAAATATATACAAAATTATTTTTTAAAAAAATAAACAGTAAACTGATTTCATGTGGTACTGTTCTTTATTACTCTTGGTTAGAGAAACAAATGCTTTAGCTGTCTACCTCTCTCTGCAACTAGGCTGGCTTCATAATTGCAATTAAGATTCTGTGACAGAGAGTGCAACCATGATACACAGAAAAATAAGGTACCCGTGTGAGTTGAGCTGTTTGCTTATTTCCTCCAGGTGAGGTGGGATACGCAGCGTTCGCGACCCATGAGGATGAAGGGGCTGGCTGTGGGGAAGCACCCATTGACTAAGGCAGAGGTGCTCACCAGCCACCACGCAGTTGTACCAAACTCAGAAAAGCAAACATGAATAATGGAGGACAGGGCATAGGAGAAAATGAAGGCACTCGCCAGGACAAGGATGCTTCGTGTAGCGCGGGTCTCAGCAGTAGATCTTGATGACACTTGGTATCTATGAATATGGTGGACACGTTGCATGTGCCTGTTCAGAATGAGAACCATGGAGCCACTGGCCCAGATCATGAGTTCCAAACACAAAACGTCATGTGAGAAAGTCAATGCTGCAAATACTGAGTTTGCATCTCTGTCGCGGAGCACAGCAGAACAGTATAGAAAATCTATACCTGTGCTGAGGTTGCTGTTGCTCCATCTGTCAGTCATAAGCATAGGAGTTCTGATATTTAGCAGCATGTGTAGGACCCAGCAGAGGAAATTAAACAAGTCAATAGACTTCTGGGCTTTCACTCTATGCTCTGCCCACCTGGAGTTCCTGGGGCTGATGGTGATGTACTGAAAGATACTCAACAGGCAGGTGGTGGTAACAGACACACCTCTGGACACTCTGTGAACAGAGAAAACAAGCTTGCATCCAATATCACCGAGGAAACTTCGCAACCCAAAAGCTGCCATGATCTCTGGGATTCCTCTTGAGAGAAGGACCAAGGAGTTGGCCACAGTCAGGTGCCTGAGAATCAAGTCTGTGGGCCTTGATCTGAATCCACTGAAGTGAAGGAAGACATGATAAAACAAGAGTGAAAAATTCCCCAGAGTTCCAATGAAAATCTGCAAAAGGAAGACTATTCCAAATCTCAAAACCTTGGAGGTCATCCTACTATTATCCAGGACTTCATTTAAACATTGAAAACAGGATTCTGTACCAAAAGAAAAGTTGTAGGGTTAATATGTCACATAAAATAAAATTCAAATTTTTTCACCTACCATCAGTTCTCCTTAAGAATTTCTTATAACATAGATTTTCATTGTTAAGAGTTTTCCAAAGTCTCTGGTTTGTGTCGCATTTACATTGTATGGTCCTCTGTGACTAATGGTTTAACTATTATAACATTTAACATGATAATTTAATGATCAGAAACTTCTGCCTCAATACCTAATAATATTTTTCTTTTACACATAAAGAAAATTTGGCTCCAGGCATGGTCACACATGCCTTTGATCCCAATGACTCTGGAGGCTGAGACTGGAGAGTCACAAGTTCAAGGTCCACCTCAACCACTAAAGGAGACCCTGTCTCCAAATTAAAAATGCAAAGGGCTGAGGGCATAACTCAGTGGTAACTACTCTCCAGGATCATCCCCAGTACCCCAAAAGAAAAAAAGATAATTCAATAAAAATAATACTCTGTGACTCATCCAAATATTAATGAAAAGGTTTTGTACTTAGCGGCCAGATTACATTGATGGTGCTCATTTCGGTACTATATCATCATAGCTAAATGGTTTTCATTCAGTAATCCAAACAGACATATATTTTGTGATACTTGAAATCCGCTGATTGAATGTGATAATTTCCTATTTTCTATGAATAATTTATTTTATACCCAGTATCACTTGTAAATGAAGATGCAAAGACTTGATAAAATATTTGTGCACCTGATAATTTTCTGTGGTCAAATTTGATTTACTGAATAGAAATACATATTAGAATATCAACAGAAATAATCACATAACTTTTTGCCAATGGTATCTACCACAGACACTGTCTTGGTGTAAACTAAGGTCTATAAAATTTAGAGAAGCAGCAAACAATTTTATGGTAGAATTAAATTTGTCATCATTAGGTAGCATATAATGGTGAACTTCTCATTGTACAAAAACAAGTAAAAGGTAACGTAATTTGGGAATGATGCTAAAACACAAGACAAGTATGTAGAATGAAATGTGGAGGCGTCAGATCTTGTGAAAACAAAAAAAAAAAAAAAAAGAAAAGTAGAGACTGAAAACAACATTAGAATCTTTACAGCCTGACAGGTGTCATGAGACATATTTAAATCTGAAAGATGTTAAATCCTTAATGCTGTGTGAATCTCATGCATATAATATTAGCTTTTCTTATAAATCTCCTTCCCTCATTTCATGAAGAAATACTGTCCCACATTGATCAATAACGTACAAATATTTTCAGAGAGAACAAATTATCACCTCCATTAAATACATCAAGCCCAAGTAGAAGAACTCTCATTACACTCCAGAAATTGCCATTTGATCCCATTGTTGAGATATAAAACTGGTGGCTCTGTTGACACCCTCGAACTCATCATTGCAGACATGGAACATTTACTGAAGCAACACTGGGCACCCTAGTGTCCTGGCCGTGTCTGCAGAGTAGGCTGAAGAGTCCACTGGCTCCTGAATCACAGTCTCAGTGCTCATACAGAGCAGTCCTCAATACTTCTTGGAACAAATTCCCATGACCATCATTAGCACTGCTGTGTTAAAGGATATTAGGAGCAGAGAGAGGCTGGGGTAGGGTCTCAGACTGCAGTCACTCTGCAAGCTCAGCCCTGTACCTTTTCCTCCTTCATAGGTGGCTTTGTCACCCCAGAGGGACCATGTTTCCAGACGTGTTGCCTAAGCAGACACAGACTCATTTATAGCTGATCCCCTTACACACTGTTTCACAGGCTGAATTGAGAATACTCACCGACTCTTTCCTGCTTCCAGAAAGCCAGGCTCAACTGACAGTCATGACACCCTGTGTCATGTGGGAGGGAGGCAGCCAGACCTTGAGGCTGGGTCCCCCACCCTGGGACCTCAACTCCCCAAAGAAACACATTATCCCTTCACTTATAGTTTCAGCAACAGCACATGATTGTGATGTTGACATTAATAAGACTTTCTTCCAAGTCCCAATTACCACAGGCACTTAGAAGTTTCTATGATTATCGAAGTTTCTATAATCAGGTCTAAAGAGAGAGGACGTGAGTGTTTTGGAAAAACACTTCCTTTGCCTTAATGCCTAGGGACAGACACAGCCTCACATGCTGATGCAGAAAATGTTGAGACCTGACAGATGAAGGATTCAGAGTGAAGAAGGTGTACTATTTTTCCATTCTAAGTGATACATAAGAATTATATATGTGCCAGATGCAGTGGTGCACACCTACCTGTAATTCCAACAACTCAAGCAATTGAGGCAGATGGAAGAAAGTTTGAGGCAGCCTCTGCAACTTAATGAAACCCTTTTTCAAAATATGAACATAAAGGACTGGAATTTAGCTCAGTGATAAAGTGCCCCTGGATTCAATTCCTGATACAGAAATGCATTACTATACATACAGAATGATTATACTGAGCTAATTAATACATACACTACATCACAACTTTTTGTGATAACATAAAATCTACTCTTGTAGCAACTTCCAAGAATACAATACACTGCAATTGACTGAAACCATCATCTTGTACAATAGAGCTCCTAAATGTAATCCTCCTATGATTTTTATTCCTTGACATGGGGTGACAACTCACCCCATGTTCCCACCACTGATGATCATCTTTCTATTCTTCTGAGTTCAACAGTTTCCATTCCACATGTTTGTGGGATCAGGCAGTATTTGTGTTCATGTGCCTGGCTTATTTCACTTAACATAGTGTCTTCCAAGTTCATCCATGTGAAAATGACAGGTCTGCATTTTTCAGACCACATTGTATCCTGTTGTGCATATAATCCACATTTCCTTTACCATTCATCCATTGATGGAGTCTTAGGTTGACCCCTTGTGTTGGCTATTGTGTAAAATCCTGTAATGAGCGTGAGAGTGTAGACATCTCTTCAACATACCGACTACATTTCCCTGAAATTTGCACCCCGAGTGGTGAGATGGATAGGTTTCATGTAGTTCTGTTTTGGATTTCTTGAGGAAGCTCTGTACTTTTCTCCACAATGGCTGTACTGACTTCCTTTCCCCACAAGGATATGTAAGGGTCCCATTTTTATCACATCCTCTTCATTTTTTTTTAGCTTTTGTCTGTTTCCTTAGTAGCCATTCTAACAGCATGTGGTGATACCCCATGGTGGTTTCAACGTGCGCTTTCCTGATGACTAGGGAATTGTAAATTTTTCATACACCCATTTACCATTTGTTTTCTCTGAGAAATGACTATTCAGGTTCTTTGCCAACTGTCTGTGATATTCGTTGGTTACACTGGTCAACTGGATCACATTGACCAGTGAAAATAGAAGCACAGGCCCGCAAAGAGCTGTCCTGCAGAGAGCGTGGTGAGAACAGAGCGCTGGCCTGCTCTCCGGGGCCCTCGGGGGACCCCGGCCCCAGGCCAGCGGTGAACTGGGGGACCCGGGACAGGAAGTGGCTTCCCCTGCAGCTCCCTGGATTTCCTGCTGCGACTGCCCACTGGCTGGCCTGGCTGTGAAGGACTGGTGAGCCTACCACCCAGGCTGGATGACCTGATGGTGTACGGCGACCTGTCGGACCCTGGACCCCACGGGCTGCGGGGTCTCCTGACCCAATCCCGTCCGTCCCAGGTGAAGCTGCGGTGGAGGTTGGCGCTTTTGGGTGGTGATGGGCGTAGGGAGAAGAAAGGAGGCGGCGGGGGCTTCGAGGTCCCAAGAAGGAGCGTGGTCACTGGAAAGCTCGGCCCCGCTTTGGACTGCTGGACAGCGGACCGCACCGACCAGGGCCCTCCGTGAGCGCTCTCCGTGCGGCTCCTCAAGAGCGTGCCTGGTCTCTGCAAGGCAAACCTGGAACCGTCCTGGAAGGTGAGCGAAGCCCCCGAAGATGACCACCGGTGGACAGTCAGCGGCCTCGCCTGTTGGCATTGGTTCTACCAAAGAGAGAAACGTAGAGTCACTTGCCGTATCTGACCAGTCAGAACCCCCCGCCACCCTTCGGGAAGGATTGGTGGCCTTCCTAGCAGGCCTGTGTATGTAAGGGAAAAGCTGCTCTCCACCTGCTCCCGACCCTTCAAAACCTGTGCAACATCGGGACATTCTAGATGTGAAGAGGTGCCCGAGGTGTGATAGAGTTAGAAAATAACGTCTTGTGAATGTCCATTTGTTTGAAAAAATCAGAAATGCCTTCTGGAAGTGACTTTGAAATGGATTTGTAAGGCCACCTCCGGGAGCGACACTTGTCCACGTTGGTTCAGTGGGTTGTTGGACATAGAGAAGAGTGGCCGTGAGAAGGAGGTCCTGCCACACTGGTTTTACGTGAAAGACATTTTTCAAATAATGACCATTGTTTTGTGTGTGCATTTTATTCCTCATTAATGTATGTATAGTTGAAAATTTTAAGAAATTTTTTTTAATAGCTAGGCTTTCTAGATATTCTAAAGTGCCTGCCTGATACATGTTAAAAGTAGAAGTGGTAAAATAAATAACACATTTTGTAAATTTCTTTTTGTTAAAATTATTACAAAAATTTGTGTGGGGGGGGTGCAATAGCCAACCCCTGTTGAGTATCCAGAGTTGTGTGCTGGTCCTGGGGAGCACCAAGCCAGTGTGCTTCCCGAGAGCCAAGAGTTGTCTGTGGGTTTTATTTTACTTTGCTGTGTACATACTGTGTATGAAGGACAAATGAGTCCTCCTAATCTATATCTAGTCTTTCTAGATGTTAAAGAGGTTGCCAGTGTATGACAAAAGTAGAATTAGTAAACCAATTTTGTATGTTTTGTGTTAAAATTCCTAGGAAGGACTGTCTTCTGAAAATTTGAGCATTATAGCCCACTGGGTCAATGAGGGATCAGAATGCTCATATTTTGAAGTCATTTTCAAATGGGAACTATTGTTACATGTACAGTGTATTCAAGACTGTTACAGAGTGGACAAATTGAGTCCTCTAGTCTTGTCTA